GTTCCTACTCCCAGTCCTACTGGAATTTTAGCAAATGAATGGAAGCCGCTGAGGTTTTTTTTGCAGACTTTCGTCTCGCATTATTCATAACCAATCACATTAATAAAATCGATACAGTAATGCGCCTTAATGGTAACATCAATCAAGGGAACCGGGGAAAACATAAAAAAATACTTCCAATTTTTTTGGTAAAATGCGCAAAAAATCCATTATTCTGGGGTAATACGGTGTAGATGTATATCGATTTGAATACGAATAAGGCCTGTTCTAAGCTCCATCGAAAAAGTGTGATTAAACCGCCGAACAAAGTTGACTAAAAGCGCATTCTTGCCAGCTGGAGCTTCCGTCTTCAACGGCATCCGAAAATTTATAAAAAGCTCATAAATGACTCCATATATAACTGCCAGCAGCTTTTTACTATCGCGAAACTAACCGCCCTTTTACAGTGTAATAAATGTTGCAAACTCAGCTCTATGAACGAACGATTAAAGTACACGATTAGTCGTTTTCGACAAGGGTGGAAAATCCGAACAAACGATTTGGCTAGTTGATGTTCATTTATTCGTTTTATTCGTTCATTTATTCGCATCTTAAAACAAGGTGGCTTCTAGTTCTCGTTAACACTCCTAACGTGTCTTTGTTCTGAACATATTCCAACAATTTGCATTATTTTTTGCATGCATTTTTTGGACAAACTCGAACAAAACAGTTTTATTTTACATTTTACATGGCACTAAATTAATTTCGCATGGCATCTGTTTTAAACCAACGGCCCGCTTAATTTGCATCTACATGAGCAGACGTCATTCCGAGATAAGAATCGTTCATTTTGTCCCTCTTTGCGTTATTTCCGTGTCGACGATCAGATTAGAAAAGCCGAAAGTTCAGCATTTATTAGCCGAAAGTTCGGGGATTTAGTGTCAAACTAGTGCATACTTGTTCACTAATGTGAGCTGGCTGGCGTTGTGGTTTTAAGCTGGAAATTAAATGCGTTTGCTCAGTTAGTCTTTGGGTTTGTGATTGATAGGGGCGCCCCATTAAAGAGCTAATGTTTTCCGAACTGCAAGTTTTATTAGGCAAATGCGATTTTGCAAAATAGCTTACTTAGGTGGTACTGCGCCAATGAATCTGGATCTTCAGGCACGCCGACCAATTTTTGGAAAGCGGCATTGATGGGGGCGAAGACTGTTAGAGGCTCATACATCAGGGTGAAGTTGCAAATTTGGCAGCCTTCGATGAGGGAGTAAAACTGGAAAAAACAACACTGTTTATTAATTATTTTCGAAACCAGTACAAAGATTAGAAAAAAAACTTCACTAAAGGTTTCAGGCAGGTCCACTGGTGGTTTAAGTGCATAACATCAGCCCAATTTTTTTAGGGCGTTTCAATCCCACTCTCGTTAGTAATGTTCCAGTGCTTCAAAGACGTTTAAAATCTAACCTTTTTTGAATTTTGTGAAGTGATAACTTTTTATTGGGACGCACATATGCACTTTGAATTCGACATTTTTCTCTTAGTGCGGGTGCATCTGTAGATCTGATAAACTTTTCAAAT